ACTAACCTGGGACATAAGCTAGCATACCTGGAGCACTAACCTGGGACATAAGCTAGCATACCTGGAGCACTAACCTGGGACATAAGCTAGCATAGCTGGAGCACTAACTTTCAAAATAAAATTAATCAAGAAATAATAGTCAGCTCTTCCAAAACAAATACATACATAAACATAGGCACATATGCTGTAACCTCAGAATACCATTTACTCTAAGAGTGTAATCTATTCTCCTACGCTCAAAACAATGTAAATTTAAGGATTGAGAACTTCAGTGGTAAATTCTCACCTGTATCTCTATGATTTAAACAAATAAAGAAAAGAACAAGAAAACATTCGTAACTTTATTTTTCATTGATCTTAACTTTCTTTTTCTCTCTTTCCACCTTGCTTTCTTGTTTTGAGTTATACTTTGGGCCCACCAAGGAGATTTTTCCACCGTGTGAGTTAGCTAGCCAGTGGTTTAATTCTCCCTCTGCCAGTGGATAATATGGTTTATATGTGGAGGGAAAAGTGGTGAGAGGGAGATTTCAAAAAGGAGGCTTGTCACTTAGCTAATACATTATGTAATAGAAAAGATATAAAGGAATTATTCACTGGCTTGCTGGTTTAAGAATAATTCAAGTCCCTGAACAGAGCTTCAAATTAACTCATGGAATTATCTTTACCTACAGTTGTGTTTTAGTTGTTTTTCTTCTATTGAAGTCAAAAGAAAAACACAACCTTCCATTCAGGAAGAAAGAATAAAACACTGTTCTTGTTTTCTGTATCATTTTTGGCACTGTTTTTTGACAGCAATTCATGGGAATAACATAGATAGCCTTTTTATGCATACACTAGACTCCATCCCACTATAGGAAAAGGCTCAATTCAAATTTGATCACATTGTGAAAATGAAAACTTAGTGTGGGTGAATATAACTCTATAAAAGCTGAGTTCTCCCTAGGACTCTATGTGTGCCCTGCATTAACTCCAGAAGTCAGCAGTATTGTAGAGTCATTAATCTCAGAGGAAGAAATATAAACCAGGTGGGCAGGCTCCTAACATCAGCTAGACCAGCTCCATGGAAGGATGGTTAATTAGCTGCCTGCAGTGTCTGCAAACACTGTGGAACATTAACTTTGGCTCCTGTCAAATTCAGTTCCAGAACAAAGAATGGCTATTTGTGGCATGTCAGGTTTTTTGGCATATTTGTGTTACCAACTTACAACATTTTAAAGAGAAGAAAATTCTAGATTTCTGAGGACCTGCGGCCATTTATTATGTATGACATCCAGCATGACACGCACATGCCTCACTCGTATAAGATTCAACACAGAACATTGTCAAGGGCTCCCAGTTTCCCAAGTTAGGACTCGTTACAACCATTTCCTCCTAAGTTCCTCCTCCTAAGGACCATAACGATTCACTAAATGCCCATCATTGATCAGGTAGTTTACAAGCATGACTTCAAGTGATTGTTATAAAGACCATGTGAAGAGAGGCCCATCATCCTGTTTGTATTACATATGAGGAAACTGAGGCAGAGAACATCATGCAAATTGCCCAAGTTCAAAGTTAGTACACTTAGGCAGCCAGATGGCCAGACTGTCTTCTCCTCAGTGGAAACAATTTTAACAAGCAATTAATTTAAGAACATGTTGGAATTAACTCACAAACTTACACAAGAAAAGACAACTCTATTTGGCCTTTATTTCATTAAAATCTGAACTCGGCCATCCAAAACTATCTCGTGGAACACACAAATGCTGCACCCAATGATCATGATACCTCTGCAAACCAACACCCATTGGTCTGGGTAACTGTGTACACAGCCAACTGGACTGTTTTGACTGAATCAACCTAACACTTAAGCTTATTTTTTAATACATTAAATTTAATCTAATAAATAATTAGGGGAAAAAGGAGAAGTTCAACTCTGTTTGATTCAATGAATTAGCTCTTGAACCAACCTAAAGGGTTGTTTGAATTGTTTGACAAGTTCCTTTGTGTGGTGAGTATGTCTGTGTGTTTTCGTACAACTCGCCTGTCAACGCAGTCAAAACTGTGTGCAACATAGACACAGCTTGCAAAGTGTTCTGAGAACTGATTCGTGTCAGATTTTTTTAATCCATTGAGTCCCAGAGGTGCCATGTAAATATAAATTTTAATTTTACTTATTCGTAGATTTCATTTTTTTCCCGTTGTGCCAGAGGATGTAACAAAGCTTCCCAGGAGGGTGTTTGCTAATGCAGAGCATTTGTCTCTCTGCCCTAGCATGGAAGGTTCTATCATGTATCTTCCCCAGATCACAGGACTTGAAGTGCTTTTGCAGCTTACAATATCATGAAAAATAAAGCACTTCGGGCTAAAACAAAAGAGCTCATCTACAGCAGTGGCCCTTATGTGTGGTCCCCAACCATTGGTGGTAGCATCTCCTGGGAGCTTGGCAAAAATGCATGTTCTCAGCCCACCCAATACCGACTGAATCAGAAACTCTGGGGTGGGAGTTTAGCAATCTGTGTTTTAACAAACGCTTCAGAGGATTCTGATGCTCACTCAACTTTCTGTTCCTCTACCCTAAAGGAACAGAAAGAGGAGACACCTCAGTCTTTGACTTGCAGTGGGTATTGAACAAGAGGTCTTAAAGACTTCCTACTGTACTTTAATTAACACTATGATGTCTTAAATAAAGTTCTGTGTCTTTTTAATTCCCTCTTTTAATCTATGGCAATTCAAGCACTGAATTTAAGTCAAACAGACCTGGCCAAACAGACAATGCCAGGCAGAAAAAGGGAATGACTATAGAGTAATTTAATCTATTCTAGCAGAATAACTAGAATCCAAAATGGTCAGTCTAGTTACACTAGTTGGCTTTACAAATAAATTGGATCAATAATGCAGTGAGCTGATTGTTTGCTTGGGAATTAGCTGAAACCAAAAGCACTTAAATCCATTGAATGTAAATTATTTTATCCAAGTAGCATAGAAATGCCCAACCAGCCTTACAAGATTGAGAGGGTTGTCTCAGACAAATAAAACATGCCTTCAGAACAAAGGAATGGTGTGTGTCAGGGAAGACTGCCTAGGATGTACTGATGGGGAAGCTGACGGAGCTTCCCAGGAGGGTATTTGTTAGTTATGAGCATATCTCCTTCTGTCCTAGCATGGAAGGTTCCATCGTGCATCTGCCCCAGATCATAGCTCTAAAGAAGAAATACAAGGCTTACCTCTACATAGATGAAGCTCACAGTATTGGGGCCGTGGGCCCAACTGGCCGAGGTGTCACGGAATTCTTTGGACTAGACCCTCACGAAGTTGATGTGCTCATGGGCACATTCACCAAAAGCTTTGGAGCTGCAGGAGGTTACATAGCTGGAAGGAAGGTAAGAGAGGGACCCCTTGTGTCTGTTTAAAACCTGAGCGCCCTGGGGGTGCCGTGTGTAGGGCTTCTCTGAATTTCATGAAAGCTTCAATTCAGTTCACCACACCTCAGCTGATCACTCCAGCCTGGCTACAATGGGTTCACAGCCAGATAAGGCCCAGAATGTCGAGGAGCTCTCCCTCGAATAGTGAAGAGGAGGATGTGATGAGTGATCACATTATAATGAAATGGCAACACTGGCCATGTACACAAGGTGCAAAGTACCAGGGAGAGGAATAATTAACTTTGTTAAGTAGTATTTAAGATATGGTTTAGATTGAATGTCCACCTTATAGACAGATAATGGGGGGCTATATTTAACACAGAGAGAGAATAATGTATACCAAGCCACAGAAGTGATAAGGAATGTTCTGAAAACTATAAGCAGTTTGGGGTTTGTGGCATTAAAAAACACAAGGAAGGTAATAGCAACAGTAGGCAAATGTTAGTTATTAGGGAGGCTGACCCTGTGTTACGAGTTGTGGGTTTTAAGAGTTTTAATCAAAACAGTGGCAGGAATGTACTTTTAAGAAATTTTTTCTGCAAAAAAAAATTCTTTCCATAATGTTGCATAAACCATAGGTCAAACCCTGCCATTCTCCAGTATCTTATCAATACGCCTTAAAAATTCTTATCTGCTGGGATTAGACTGTTAAGTGAATGTTGGCCCTGTCAAGGATCTTGAGTCCACTTGGTCAATATCACCAAGAGGTTTGTGAAAATAAAACAATAAATACTTGAGAGAAATTTAAAAGGAGGGAAAGGAAAGGGACAAAGAAAGTCCAATATTCAAACCTAGGTTTGAGAGATAAAGGAGCCAGTTATCTGACCAATGAGAGGACAGCCTTGTCCAAATTCTGACACCTATCTCAGACAAACCTACACCTGTCCCAAAGAGCGTGACAGTGATGTTGACTCAGCTTAGGATGGTACACCAGGCCCAAAACCAGTGCATGCAAGTGGTATCAACAAAAATCCCCACTTCCTTACCTATTGTGATGAACAGGAATTTCTGGTAAACCAGTTAGACAAACCAAGAAGTGCAGCAGAAAACAGTCCTCTCATTGAAAGCTCATGATTTAAAACAACAGATTTAATTCTGGCCACTGGCTCTGCCATGAAATGCACAGATGCTTAAAATGTTCAGAGTCGTAAGTGGTTTTTACCCTTCAATAAGCACTGCTTTCTTTCAAAGCATTGTTTTTCAACCCCTCTCCATTTGCCTGTGGGAATTAGCCGGGTAATGCTAAAACCATTGGGAATGCCCAGGATCTTACAAACTTCAGCTAAATCTGGTGAAAGGTTAAATGTTCCCTTCCTAGACTGCCGAAGCAGTAGGATCAGAGGGTCTCAAATTTAGGAGCTCCCTGATCCCAGCTACATTGCCTTGTGAGCTTGTGGTTTTGTGATTACTTTAGCAGCAGTTCTGAACTTCAAAATTTTTAACCAAGCGTAACTCTGTTTCCTGAACCAAAGGCACCTGAATAAACTGAAGCAAGCCAATCCTTGAAATGTTGTCAAATTTGGTGGATGTCACATTTTTCCTCCTAGAGTGCCTTCATTTGATACCCACTTTAAACAAAGGCTCGTGACTAGCAGAAGTAAAGACCAGTTCACCATGATTCTCTTTCATGCTCTCCATTCTGACATTAGCAAGAGTATTTTTAAGGTGTAGATATTCCTGTGTACACAATTTCTACTCATTTGGCGTAGATACCGAGCAATTGTGAAAATTACCATTATTTACATTAATCCGGATGCAGAAAAAGTATGTACATCTGTTCCTTTTCTTACCTTTTAAAATGCTCGTTTTGTGCATATTTAGATCCAGAGGGTCGCATCCTTCATTCCCTTTCCTCTCCCTCCTTTTTCCTCCCCACCTTTCTCTGTCTTCTCTTCCCCTCATGTTGCACTGCAGTGTCTAAATTTACCACTAGATGGCAGCAAGAATTAGAGGTGTTTGGCAGAGACGCGTTAGCCTCCCCTGAGATCTACCGCCCTAAAACAGCAAGATGCAAAACCTTGAAAACATAGGATTGTTTCCAAGACCTGGGCGGTGAGCAGGAGCGCACTTAAGAAAATGCATGTATCTCTGATGACTTAAAAATCAGTCAGATACACACCTATGGTTTTGATGAGACTGTGACAAACCTGGGTAAACAGGCCTCCTTTCGGCCTAATGAGCTCATGATTTAATGGAACTTAGGTATCTGTTTCCTTTGTACCTTTAATTCTTTTTAATTATGTTAATTTTTATTATGTATAATTTCAAGTCAAATTATATTTTGTATTCCTATGAACTTTAGACAATTTTGTGAAGAATTTTTACTTTGAGTCTGTTTAAATTATGCTTTTTAACTGAAACAACATAGGATTGGGCAAATACTAAAGAAAAACTACTTCTACTAGTATGTTTAAATAATTAGAGTACAGTTTTCAAACTCTGATAACTGTACTGTAAGATAGATAGATAGACAGTTGATAGAGAGACGAATAATCTCCCAGATACTTTGCCATATATCTCAGTTTAGGGGATTATTGCAAAATAGCTAGGATTCTAAACCAATGTATACAAAAGCAACAAAATTGAACATAAAAAAGTTAAAGTACACACATTCAGACTTGTTGTTTTTCTGAAACTGTATATAATTTCAATTTCACTGTGCCCATAGGGTTCTCAGTAAACCCTGAAATTTGAAAATAATCAGTTAGCTCCAAAAATCTAGAAAAAAAGATTTAAAAATCTGGCTCTTAACTCTCTTTTTAAATGATGTTAATATTGGTGTAGAGGGGCTGCATTTCCAATAACAGTGTCTGGGAGGTTCTGGAAATCTTTATGGAATGGGTCAAGGTCAGAACTTTATATATTAGCAACTAGATGAGTCATGTAATGAAATATACTTGAAAACAAGGAGGAAAAAATGGTTTAGCATGATGATACTACCAGAGAAAACAGAGGTTTTGTTTTGACCTCAGAGCCTTTTCCTCACAAAGTGTCCTACAAATTCCCCTCTGCTAATTGGAGGTTGCTGCCAGGCTGTGATCCCCTCTTTCCACTCAAGGAAACTGCTAACAGTCTGTCCAGAGCCAGCAGAGTTTTGCTGTTCTGCTCACTTTTGGAGCCACTATAGATGCACAGTGAACAGCCTAACTTGAAGGAGTCTGTCCTTTCAAGACTTTCCTGATGAAATTCCAGATCACTACTTCTCTCCACCTGTCAGAGCTCCATGCCATGAATGGCTTCTTTGAAGGGAAGCCTAAGCTGATGAGACTAGGTTTCTCATTTTTATTCTTTTACATCTGTATTGATCCTGTTGCTGGGAAATGTGGTCAATGCCAAAGACCCCAAACTTTTCCCCAGACAAGGATCTTGAGTCCACTTATATGCTTGGCACTGAGCACTGGCTCCCACAGCCTCCACAGGCTGACCAGAGACTTGCAAATGAATGAAGCGATGGTAGCCCTTGTAACTGATAGGTTGCAGGGCTGGAATTCTGGAGAAAGGAACTGGGACAGGGCGGACAAATTTGGGGTGAGCATTAGTCCCAGAAGCCCGCATGCCAGCCAAAGCCGGGTCGCTCTAAAAAGCGAGCCCTGCCCTGCACGCTAGGCCCTGGCTGTATTTAACATCCCTTTGAAGTAAGCAGGGGTCATGGCGTGAGCTCTGAGATGTTTATTCTAAGAGTCTCCTGTCTGATTTCCTCCCAAAAAAAGCCACCCTTGCCCTTGAACTTCAGGCCCATGGGTAGAGAAAACAATCAGGGTTTTGAACTTCCAAATGGATGTGGAAACCTCAGTATGAGGAGACCTCTAGCCCACCCTGAAGAAGATACATCCCAGACTCACCTTGCAAAAGACCAAAGCCACCTCTTAACTCATGGCTCATAGCACCCATTGGGGAAACAAGAGGGGGAATTCGTAGCCAGGAATCAAGGCTCTCCCTGACACTCTCCAGAAGTTACTCAAAGAGCTCCATTTTTTGAACCACACAAGCAAATAAACTTCCATCCAGAAACTCAGACCCTGAGAGAAAGCGAACTCAGTCCAAAAAAAATAAAATTTGGGGCAAGATAGTCTTAACATTAAAAGGAACCAGTGCTGCACCAATGAGGTATTCATTCAAACGGCTCATGACCTTGACTTTAAAAAATGTCTCAATCTGTGAATTAGGGTTGGGGACATTGGGAAGAGCCCTTTTCAAGATCAAAGGAAGTTTTGTTTTGTTTCCTTGTCTGATCTTTGTCAGTGATGACCCCCAAGCTAAGTCAGTAATACCCTATATGCTTTGAGGCCCCTGGCCATCTTTCCTCCATCTCTAAAACTCCTCTGTTTTCCATTAGACCGTCAGTATTTAGCAGGCCACTACTAGGTATCCACCACTATGGATTTTAAAAGAAGTGTAAAGCTCCATCCCTGGTCTCAAGGAAGTTTCAGTCCCTTTTGGAGAAACAAGAGAGATAGACATGAAACATTTTGAGGCCAATGTGACTCAATCTGCGGTTTAGTACCGTATGGATGAGTAGATCAGGACGTCTCCCCACCCTCTCCAAAAAGAGGAACAGTCTCTGGGTTAGGGAAAGCACCGCAGGGTAAGGAGAGTGGAATTGGGGTCTGTGCTCTCCTGGACCCCCTCACACCATGCCAAGCTTACTCTTCTGGGGAGAAGTCTGGAGAAGTCAAGTGTGGTCTAAGGGTGGGGCTCTACAGTTAGCTTCTTTGGGTCCAAATCCTTGTTCTACCACCTTTTGGGAATAATTTGGGAATTCTCTGTGATTCAGTTGTTCTGTCTACAAAATGCCAATTAAAACAGTATCTACCTGAAAGAGTTATTGTGAAGTTTAAATGTATTAATGCATACAAAGTTCCTAAAATGGAACCTCAGGCCACTGGGGAATATCAGCTATGCTGTTAGCTTCTAGCCTTATCAGCTCTTCAGGGTCATTCAACCTGTCATCAAGCCTAGGTACTCCCTTATTGAAAATGTTTCTCTTTTCCTTTCTTTTCACTCCTGCTGCCACCCCTCCCCATAAGGATGCAGGAAGAGCTAGGCTGAAAATCCTTGGTTCGATGTATAGGTCTATCAATGTGTAGTCACACAACCTTAGAATGTAACCGTGTGCAAAACAAGAGAGTTGAAACAAGGACACTCCAAGAAGCTTTTATATTTTGGTCCCCTCCTCCCACGCCATGCTCACAGTTCTAAGAATCTTTCAATTGGCTATTCATTAACAATAATTGGCCAGGCGTAGTGGCTCATGCCTATAATCACAACACTTTGGGAGGTCAAGGTGGGCGGATTACCAGAGGTCAGGAGTTCGAAACCAGCCTGGCCAACATGGTGAAACCCGGGCTCTACAAAAAATACAAAAATTAGCCGGGCGTAGTGGCACACACCTGTAGTCCCAGATACTCTGGAGGCTGAAGCAGGAGAATTGCTTGAGCGCAGGAGACAGAAGTTGCAGTGAGCCAAGGTCATGCCACTGCACTCCAGCCTGGCCGACAGAGCAAGACTGTCAAAAAAAAAAAAAAAAAAAAGTTACCAACTGCATCAGGCATTCACTGTTTCACTGTGTACCGGATGCTTTTCTAAGCATCTCATATATGTATTCACCCATTTCATTCTCATAAACTCCGAGACAGGTATTACTATGATCTCATTTTTCAGAGAAGCCAACTAAGGCACAGAGAGATTTAGTAACTGACCCATAGTCACACAGCAGTAAGTGGCAAAGCCAGGATTTGAATCCAAGCTATTGGGCACCAGAGGCTGCGCTGTAACTCCTGGGTTATACTCCCTCCAAGGGGACAGCTCCTTAACCCCTTGTCTCAGAAGCACTGGCTTCTCCCTCTCTTCCCAATGACATCTCCATTCTGTGCTCATAAGATGCCATCCTTATTCCTAATTTTAGGACAGACCCATGCCTTTTTGCTCCTCTGCATCTATTCGAATCTCCCCATCCCTCATGGCCAGATCACACCCTTGAAACACCTTGTTCCTGACAGAGGTCCACATGAGCCTCCATCATCCAATTCCCAGGACCCACCCACCGTCTCCTTGTTGACTTCCCCTGCATCCTGTAGGGAGATATTCACTCCAACAGAGAAAGGCAATCCCTGCTGCTGCCCCCCAGGAGCACGGAACATGGCACTGTGAAGGACAGCCCTGACTGTAGCTACTCTGGCACATGACTGCTGTCATCTCTTTGAGGCACCTCAGATACTCCAAAGTGAACTTTCTGGATACCCTGTGGCTGATGAATTCAGTCAGGCCAGCATCATGCACATACTCTTCAGATATGGGGAAAACCCACCCAGCTTTTTTCATGAGGCTCACCAAATAAAAGAATCAGCAAAAAACTTAATTTCATTTATATAAATGGATAACCGATGCCAGGGACTAGCCCTATGGTCCTTTTCTATCCTCCCTCCCCTCCTGGACTCCCACACATGTCTAGGATGTAGAAAGTTACTGGTATATTCTTGCTGGAAGGAAAGGTGGAAGGAGGGAGGGGGAGAAGAAAAGAGAAAAGAAAGGAGGGAGGGAGGGAGGGAGGGAG